GTATTATTTTTTTGTTACTTTTTGTTAATAACTTTTTAACAAATAACGAGCGACGGCTAAAACCACCTGAAGGTTACTTGGGGTCATGTCCTTGACAACATATATAAAGGGCAAGATCATTGGAGCAGCCTCCCTTCATCGGTATATTTACCGAATTCTGAAAGAATTCTGGTTGAATTCTACATAATATTTCCCAGGTAGCACATGTTCGTTTCATATGTGCTCCTTAAACGTATTCAATGTTTTGTATAATCGTTAAGCATCAATAAAAAACGTTTTAATGTATATCAATAAAAAATGTTTTTAATATAATAATTTAAGAAACATATTTTTCACGTGTTTATTGTAAATAGAATCAAAATTAATTTTTTAATTTAAAATTATATATGTATATATATATAAAATATATGTGTATACGTTCATAAATTTATATATACATATATAATATATATATATAATAATATAATATAATATAAATATAATATAATAATATAATATAAAATATAATATTTTATATATATATATATATATTATATATATACATATATATAAACATTCAAATTGACCAATCATAAACGATTATTCCCTTCACATTCGACTATGATTGGTCTATTTTTTAAGGCTTAAGGCTTCATACATCTATTGTGTTTCGGGACTAATTAGGGCAAATTCATCAGAATTCGTATTGGTAGCAAGAAAAGCAGAAAACAAAAACTATATTGACTACCAACGCGAGTTCTGATTGGCTTCTGCTTTTCTGTTTTCCGCTTTTCTGTCAAGGTGTGAATTCGCTCTTAGACTTATTTCCTTAAAATAAGAATCAATTATGAATATCAGCCTTTTACTTTTACGGAGGAATGTTGATTAAAAATTCTTTCGTTCCAAAACACGAACTTCGCGCGCATTTACTACTAGTTATTGTATCCGCCGTCGTAGCGCTATCTTCGAAGTCGACAGTAGAGTCGTGAGTCACGCCATCGGCATAGATGAGCATCATGAGCATTGCAGTTGCGCGCTTGTATTCTCAGCAGTTGAATTGGAGTTAGTGATGTGTGTGTCATCGCGTTTTCTTAAGAGAAAAACATCTTTTGGTAATGCCACTGTTTTCTGTCAAGCTCACGTGCGTGGCTCTCTCTCTCTTTCTGTCTGTTGGCCCTTTCCTTCTATTTCTCTCACTCCTCCTCCTCCCCCTTTCCCTCTCTGCTTACGCACATACACATGCTTCGTTACATCCCTTTCTCCTTTTTTCTGTCCTGTCTCTCCTTTATATCTACTATCTACCTATCTGTCTATCTATCTATCTATCTCATTTATCTTTTTATTTATCTATCTGTTGATCTAATTATCTATTAATCTATCTGTCTTTTATCTATCTAGTCTATTTGTCTGTCTATTTATTTATTTATTTATTTATTTATCTTTCTTGGTGGTATATATTAGGATTTTCCTTCATTGGATAACTAAAAGTGGAAGTGCACATTTTTACACAAAAAGTCGAAAAAGAATAGGGAAAGAACTGAAGAGAAATAAAAGATACAGAGAGAGAGAGAGAGTGAAAGAGAGAGAG